CTACAGAAGTGCCTGTCTCTCATGACGGATTACAGCTGGATTCCAGCAAAATCAGGCTTCCAAATTGGTGCCTTGAATACGTGCCGTTCAGATGTGGATTCAGAACTTGAAGAGATTTTACTTTTGTGTCTTTGCTCTTGGACCTATAGTTATGCAAACATGTTGTAGGAAAACATTTTTAGAATGCACTTAGAATGAAGTTAAGAGCCTAAGAGTTGTGTGGAGACCTCATAGCAACCTTCCAGTATCTGAAGGGGGCCTATAGGGATGCTGGGGAGGGACTCTTCGTTAGGGACTGTAGTGATAGGACAAAAGGTAATGGGTTAAAACTTGAACAGGGGAAGTTTAGATTGGATATAAGGAGGAAATTCTTTACTGTGAGGGTGGTGAGGCACTGGAATGGGTTGCCCAAAGAAGTAAATGCTCCATCCCTGGCAGTGTTCAAGGCCAGGCTGGACAGTCTTGGGTGACATGGTTTAGTGTGTGATGTCCCTGCCCATGGCAGGGGTGTTGGAACTAGATGATCTAAAGGTCCTTTCCAACCCAAATCATTTTATAATTCTATGAAAGGCATGTGATCAGATCCAAATGATTGAGGTCATCTTTCAGCTGACATTTTAATTCCTAACCTATTGCAATGTTGTAAGTGGCTAAAATTCTACAGGTGTTTTCCCTCAAAAACTTGACGCATTCTTCTAAGGTTTAGAGGCCCAATGGTAATTTTCCAGGATAAACTGGGCCCATGCCCATTTTACACTGTGTCTAACATTTCAAATGCATTTTCTGTACCTACTGGTATGTACTGAACAGGTGCATCTCGGGCTTAGTCACACCATCTTTCCAGGGCTGACATGAATGCACACTCAGGCTCTTTTTCTTTCCATCTGGGGAGGCCTTAGCCTATGGTGTCCTTTCCTTGTCCTTGGTGTGTGATCCTATATTTTGTATTTCAAGATTCAATTCACTTTTATTGCCTCAGTCCTTCAGATTCTCAGTCCAGTTCATTCTGCATAATTTTCCATCTTCATCTTTCTACTGAGGGCTTATGGGTTTGTGTCATTGACCAATGATGTTAGCATACTCTGAATTTTTGTATCAGTATCAGTAAAAAACAGATTTAGTCCCTAACCCATCCTTTGAAACATCACCAGTAATCTATCAGAGTAAAATTCCTTTTGGTCCTAATGTTTCCTTCTCTTAAACGAAGTTGTGATTTTTTTTATCTTTTTTTCCTAAGTGGCATTGTGTCCAATACATAAGATCTTATCAGCTACATTTCTTGTGTTCCTTTTCTTAAATTAGCAGTTATCTATAAAGAGAGATGCTAGGTTAATTTGGCATAATGATAGTATATTTTGGGATAAATTTGTTACTTGCTATATTTTTCATTTTTCATTACCTCAGTGTCTCTATCTATGCAATGCTTCATAATTTGTTTCAAACCCTTGCACAGCTCATGAGGTTACAGTCACTTGTTTTGATATTGTCTGGGTCATGCACATCCCTTTTTCTTAAAAGAAAAAAAAAAATTAGTTTTGTTATTTTTCAGACATTTGATTGCCAGTCTGATGTATTCATTAAAATACTTTGTTATTAAACTGACCTTTCATGTGTGAATATTGTAAGTACTCTTGAATGCAGATTATGGGGTCTTGCCCTTCTGGTCTAGACACTTCCTTAAAAACAGTTTTATGTCTTTGTTTTGTTCTCATCTTAGATGAGTAATTTTCATTTCCACAGAGTGTATCATTAGCCACACTGCATTTGCTGCTGTAGTCAACATCCCCATATTAATTTTGTTTTTGACTGTCTGTAAATTGCCTTTAATCTTAACTGCATTTTGCTGCTTGGTGAAGACACTCTTTTTCCTATTTTCTTTTTATTTGGATGATGAAAGTACATTTTAGTACTTGCATATTTGCAAGATCTGACCCTGCCTAACATTTTCTGTTCTTGCTTTCTCCATCTATTTTCTGACATCTGACAGTTTTCCTTGCATATTGGTTTAATTTTCCACCCTACAAGCTTTCTGCGTACGCCAGATATACTCTCTGAGGTGACTGCTCATCTAGGTAGAAATGGCATGCTTTGCTGTAAAAGATTCTCCATGTGTTTGAAGCTGCAAGTTTTTCACGGCCCACAGCCACAGACTTTTTCTTGAAGGAATTCTAATACTTCCTTGAGTCCAGCAATTTTAAGACTCAATTGTCCTCTGATTTTCTTATTTTCTGATTTTTTGAAGTAAAAATCTTATTTATTTATGTGTGGCATTTATTCATTTTACAGCCATTTTTTAAAACGAATGAATGAATGTGTCATCACTCTGAGATAGCTCTCTTGATGAACTATTTAGTAGGGTTTTGTAGCTCGCTTTTCTCATGTTACGTGTCACATCCTCAGATAACTGTGTCTAAGCCTCATTGGTAGAATTGATTTTCTGTGAAGTTACAGTATCACCTCACAGTTCTCACAGTGCTCTTTACTCTTTATTTACTATTTCATAATATTATTTGCTTTCTAAATCATGCAGAAATGAATATACAATAAAAGGGATCCTATGCAAAGCTATCTGAAAGGAACTGAAAACCCTTTGTACCCTCTCTAATTTGCTTACAGCTTATCAGATACTTGCTCTACAGTTCATCACATCACTATTTTTGCCATGAAGAAGACCATAACATAGGTACATGTCAATGTGGGAGATAAGCAAGAAGAGATTACTATGTCAAACTGACATGCAGTTCTACTGTATTATCTACATGACAGGGAAAATACAGTGAATTATGCAAGCTAATGCAGGCAGTTTATGGCCTTCTACACTCCAATATAGTCTTACACAAATTTTGGGGCAGAATGTTCTCATTGCTTTAAGATTAAAAAATTATTTAACCAGTTGGGAAAATTACGACATTTTAAGAGCATGATCAAGGTCAAAATTATTCATACAATCTTACAAATTTATATTAATTAAATTCCTTATAGTTGCTTTCAGTTTCATGCAGGAGATCTTCCATTATTTCTCTCAGTTTAATTTATTTTTTTTGTATTTTCTTGTTAAATAAAGCCAAAAATCTGCTCTGTATGACTAGTCTTATGGAAGTCTTTTTTTTCATTTTCTTTAAGCAGGCTGTATGAATCTTAAGTGAAATTATTTTTTTTCCTCTATGCACCATATGTTAGATTAGTGGATCTCTAACTGAGAGAGGTTATTGCTGTTGGACCACCAGTACTAAACAGGAGTTCTTCTGCCTTACTCTGTCATTTAGAATGGGAATATCAGTCTTCCTTTTATAAGAGCATCTTTTCTTCACTAGCAGACATCAAACTGTTAAATCACAAAAGTGCCTAACATAAAGAATGCAAAGTCATTGTGTTAATAATAGTAAGTTCCTTCCTTTTAAGGAAGGAAAACAGGGAGATTGTTATGCTTTGTCTTTAGGTATTTTAGCTACCATTTTCTGGAATGTCTTATGCTGTTGCCTTCAGTGAAGCAGAGTAATGGCAAGATTAGGTTTTTATTATATATCCGACATTTTTAGTTAGTTTTGGGGGTTTTATAATTGTCCATTACTAATAGAGTTATTCAGCAATTTTTTAGGTGGAAAATCTTGTTTTAAAACACAAACTAACATGATTCTGTAATATGGTTTTGAACTACTTTTTTTCAGCTAAAGAATTTTATCTTGTCTTATGACCATCTTGGAAGGCAAACAAAATTTTACTGAGCAACATAAGATACTCCTTTTTCTCATTAAAATTTTCTATTTACAACAGTTATTTTAATTCCTTCTTATTGGCATCAGATTGGGCTTGTATTTTCAGGCAGTTGACTCTATCTGCAGGCAACAGACGCATTTAAAATAAACTGCAATAAGATTCTATTTTTGAGATCTAGTGATTGCAAGGGAATCATTTGTCAATCAGATATACATTCAAGTTTTTTTTAATTAAATATTCTATTTTAAAAGATTTGCATTTGTTTTCACATTTGCTAACTAAAATTGTAAAGGAATGCTAAAGATTTATGTGATAGAAATTTTCACCTGGAATTTAGTGTGGAACATGATACTTAATGTACAACATAAATAGTGTAAATTGTCAATTCATTTGCATATTTGGGTATTTTTCAAGAAAGCTAAAGAAGTTTTATAAACAAACTTTCCTTACTTTTATCAGTATTGACGCTATTAGGTATATTACAATTTTTAAGCAATGAGTTCTTGAAATGATAGAAGGCTGGCATGACATCACCTAATAGATTGAGCAGCTGCATTGTTCTTTAAGATATTTCACACTTAGCAAATAATCATAAGCAAATATAGTCCCACATAATATACACTACATTGCCAATATCATGTCAATGTTTAAAGGCAAAATTCAGTTTTGCAGCGGCAGCCAAGTAGACTTTAAGTGGGTGGGAGAAGGCTGGAAGAACCAGTAGCCAGGGGAGGCTCTGGGAAAAATGATTTACGCCTCTTAGTAGAGGAAGGAGCTACAGCTGCTGCTGCATGAGGAAATTACTGCTTGCTGCTATAGCTGGCCCACTCCTCACTCCTTTTCAGGGTTTGTACCATAATCATTAATCCAGAGTCCTCAGGCTGCAGATTCTAGCTGTTTTTTTCCTAGGAGGAAAAAGGAGGTGAATAGAATCTCTGTTCATGCAGTTTTGTTGTGTTAATAATAGTAAACAGTAAACAAATATGGAAATGAGAAAGAGATGAAAGTAGTAAGAAAGCCCATTGTCCATACAGGATGATTTAGTTCTGTATTCTTTCATAAAATAAAAATTCAGATGTATCTATCAAAATTACATACATTAGATTTCAAACTCATGGTGATTCCAGGTGTCTCCTCATATTTAAGATCATATTTATTCATTTCTATTTTTAATTGCATATGAACTACGTTAATCATGTTCCTTTAAGACTATAATTGATGGAATCTATTTTAAAAGATGGATTAGAAAATATAAGGACTTGACACACTCTTTCCATTGCTAGGCCATGGGAAGTGCGATTGTGGGAAGTGCAAATGTGATGAAGGCTGGTATGGTGAAGCTTGTCAGTATCCAACTACTTGCAACCTTACACGGAAAAAAAGTAATGAAATGTGCAAGAATTCTCAAGATATCATCTGTTCTGGTGCAGGTAAGAGGTCTTTTGTTGCTTTTGATGGCTTAATGTTCTCCCTGTGTTATTTTGAGAATCACTGTAATTTCTTTTCTAATTAGGAATTTTCTAGACTGTGTTTCCAAAGACTAAGAAATAACTGTATGTACACTAAAATGCTTAATTTTCATATAGGCCTATTCCTGTGCGTATGATGTTCACTGATTCAGAATGCCTACTTTAGTACCCTGGTTTATCCATAGCTATTTTATGTTGATGAAACTACAGCTGCTTCATGCATTTTGCCCATCAAAAGGTTATAGTAAGGGCATTAACACAGAAATGGCAGAAATGGCATTTGCATATACTTTTCCAAGACATTTTTAAGCTGTAAAATAATTATTAAAAACTGTTGTGTAAGATCTGCTGAATCATTTTAATGAAGTATTTCCATCTTCACTTTTCTGATGTGGTATCTCTCTGTTCTCTAAACACCTAAACGTCACCTAAACTGACTCTCAAAAATAAGCATGGTTCATTCTGGTCAAAGTACTTACATAAATAATTTTAAAGTACTTAAACAAGAATGTTAAGACCCGTTTTTCCTCTTTCTTTCCTTCGCTAGAAATGCCCCCATTCTAACAACTGCTAAGAGTGGCTAAGAGAGGAGTGTTTGTGAGGTCAGGAGATGAGTAAATGCTTTTGGTTTTGCTGGTATTAAACAAGACATGAATTCCAATGAGACTGACTAGGGAGTTTGAGGTAGTTTTGATGAGCTGTAGCCATAGATATTTTGTCTTGAAGGGATTGCCTTTCAATATACTGCTGACATTGCCTTTGGGGTCTGAACTCTGTTTAATTGCCATTAAAGATGGGGAGGGATTATATGAGTTGTTGCAAAAACAGTCTTCTACTGTCACACAGCTAAACATTTCTTGTAATCCTTTTCACGAACCAATCAAGATCCACCTAAAATGTACCTTTTCTGACTCAACTGCTCCTAATCATTTGTCAGAGCAACTAGGCCATCCTACCTAAACTGAGATTCTCTATATTCTCTATTTTTTCTGACCGTGTAAGTCCTTAATATGTTTATTTATGACTTTTATATGTTATCATGCATTATGTTTCAAACTGAAAAATATACAGAAGTATATTTGCAGCTAAGATTGGGTTTCTGTTGATATGGATTGTTTCTGTGTCTGTCTTTATTTATCTGGATGATCTTCAGATTTCAGCCTTCTCGCAAATAAAATGCATACCATCTCTGATGGACTAATGAATCTTTTCATAAACTGCTGTCGTTGAGTACTGTCTTAAACATTTCCAGGTACATGTCACTGTGGCAGGTGTAAATGTGCAAACTCAGAAGGAAATGGACTTGTCTATGGTAAATTTTGTGAATGCGATGACAGAGAATGCATAGATGATGAGACAGAAGAGATTTGTACAGGTATGTACTTTAGTGCAAGAAGGGTGTTATAAAATCATTTAATTGTGTAGACCTATGAAATGTCTACTGAATACTTGCAAGAATTTAGCTTGCAGATTGTAAGTGGGAATTTCAGGTGCAGAAATGAGCTGAAGTAGAAGGTTAAAGAACAAAGAAATCCTGTGACATCTTCCACTTTTTGGAAGAACTGCAAAAAGGATTTTACAATGTAATTCACTAAGGTAATTTGCTTAGTGTGTTTGTCTTTGGTAGAATATAAGAAGTGTTAATGCTTTGTAGTACAGATGAGAGCAAGGTGGAGGACAGAAAGAAAAATGAAAGAAAAAAAAGAAAATTAGATTACTAGCAATTTTGTCAAGGAAGCAAAAATTTAAAACAAGAATAAATATGGATGAAAACTCAGAAGCAATTCAGGAGACAAAAAGGGAAAAGAATGAACGAAGAAAAATTTGAACTGTGATAGCAAAGGCAAAATAATAAGATAGAGTGAAATCTGCTGATATATAGAAAAGCAACTGAAATTTAAACTATGCTTTCATTTCTTTGTAAGATAGGAACCTGGCAATTTAATATTGTGCAATGCACAGCACTTATGGAATTATAAATATTGTTGCTGATACTACCAGGGAGGCTTGTCCTTAAGATGGAAGTTGCTATAGATATTTTTCAAGCTATGCACAAGCATACTGTGTCTGTATGCACACTGGATGGTTCAGAACTGCTCTTAGACTATTCATACTCTGATGACAGTACTTGCTCTCTGTGTGCATGTATATATAGAGAGAGTACGTGTGTAAAATAGCTTTATCTATCTTTAACCATACACAGAGAACAAAATAAATCCTATATATTTTAGTTCCTTTGATGGGAAAAAGAACTTTTTTGTTGCATAGGATTAGGTAGAGATTTTAAGTGAGAGTAAATAAAAATGGTCTTCTGAAGTCCAAATCCAGGAGTACAATATTTCCACTAATTGCCTAAAATAAAATGAATGTAAAGTAATAATTTCTATGTGCCAATTATGCCATGTATATATTTATTTGCTTGCAACTGTTGCATAAGGTACCAAATATGGTAAAAGTTCACTGTTTATTTAGTTCCAGTAAATTCTCCTTCTGCTGTTTTTGCCCATTTTTTTTTTTTCCTCCCACACCTGTGTGGATGCTGATTTACATTGTTAGGTTTTCCTTAGCTCTTATTTCCCTTTGTTTCATCCAGGGGTACCATATTCCAAAACAGACCAGATGCACCTCTGTAAAAAACTAGTTTTTTATGTATGCAGATAACCATGTATTCTGATGAAACAGGACAAAAATGATGCTAGGTTCAAGTCTCTAAGGGATGTGATTCATTAGTACAAAAGCCTGATGCCTTATTTAAGGTTTGGAGCATTTTAAAGTAAATATAAACTAATGGTGTGTTGTCTTGGTTAGGTTGTTGTAAGCTGAAAAGCTTATGCACATAGGCTGTGAATCTTAGATTTCACATTGCTTTCTAACAGAACGCTACAGGACACTGTCCCACACGACATCCTTGTCTCTAAATTGGAGAGACATCAATTTGATGGATGGACCACTCAGTGGATAAAGAACTGGCTGGATGACCACACACAGAGTTGTGGTCAATGGCTCAATGTCCGGCTGGAGACCAGTAACGAGTGGTGTCCCTCAGGGATCGGTGTTGGGACCGGTCTTGTTCAACATCTTTGTCGCTGACATGGACAGTGGGATTGAGTGCGCCCTCAGCAAGTTTGCCGATGACACCAAGCTGTGTGGTTCGGTTGATACTCTGGAGGGAAGGAATGCCATCCAGAGGGACCTTGACACTCTTGTGAGGTGGGCTGATGCCAACCTCATGAAGTTTAACCATGCCAAGTGCAAGGTCCTACACCTGGGTCGGAGCAATCCCAGGCACAGCTACAGGTTGGGCAGAGAAGAGATTCAGAGCAGCCCTGCGGAGAAGGACTTGGGGGTGCTGGTCGATGAGAAAATGAACATGAGCTGGCTTCAGGGTGTGCTTGCAGCCCAGAAAGCCAACCGTATCCTGGGCTGCATCAAAAGGGGCGTGACCAGCAGGTAGAAGGAGGGGATCCTGCCCCTCTACTCTGCTCTTGTGAGACCTCACCTGGAGTATTGCGTGCAGTTCTGGTGTCCTCAACATAAAAAGGACATGGAACTGTTGCAACAAGTCCAGAGGAGGGCCATGAGAATGATTGGGGGTCTAGAGCACCTCCCGTATGAAGATAGGCTGAGAAAGTTGGGGCCGTTCAGCCTGGAGAAGGCTGCGTGGAGACCTTATAGCAGCCTTCCAGTGTATGAAGGGGGCCTATAAGGATGCTGGGGAGGGACTCTTCATTAGGGACTGTAGTGAAAGGACAAGGGGTAAGGGGTTAAAACTTAAACAGGGTAAGTTTAGATTGGATATAAGGAGGAAGTTCTTTCCTGTGAGGGTGGTGAGGCACTGGAATGGGTTGCCCAGAGAAGTTGTGAATGCTCCATCTCTGGTGGTGCTCAAGCCCAGGTTGGACAGAGCCTTGGGTGATATGGTTTAGTGTGGGGTGTCCCTGCCCATGGCAGAGGGGTTGGAACTAGATGATCTTAAGGTCCTTTCCAATCCTAACTATTCTATGATTCTATGATTCTACGATTCTACAACCATATGTATTAACAAGGGTATGTGATAGGACAAGGGGTAATGACTTTAAACTGAAAGAGGGTAGATTTAGATTAGACATTAGGAAGAAGTTCTTTACTGTGAAGGTGGTGAGACACTGGCATAGGTTGCCCTGTGGATGCCCCATCCCTGCAAATGTTCAATGGCAGGGTGGACAGGGCTTTGAGTACCCTGGTTGAGTGGAAAGTGTCCCTGCCCAGGGCAGGGGAGTTCTAACTAGGTGAACTTTTGAGGTCCCTTCCATCCCAAACCATTCTATGATTCTATGATCCCACACTGAACCAAGCCTTATGCAGAAAAAATGGACACCACATGAACTGAAGGTCAAAGGAATATAATTTCATCACAGAAAAAGCAGATCCCACATGCCTATTTGGTTATTGCTTCTCTCTCCCCTCCACATGCTGCCTTTAATACCATCTCTCCTTCCACAGAATTTCCACCACAGGAATCACTTAGTTTTATTTATGAAGTAAAAAGAAACAGTGCTCAAACCCGGTTCTGCTTAGATTGGCCTCTGGATACTCTGTCCACAGGCAAGGTGAACCTAATCAGTGCAATCAGTTTCTGTTGTACTTTCCCAGTTTGTGTAGCACCCATTTAGTTGCTACATACCCTTGATTGCCCTTGAAGGTATAGATGGGTCTTCAAAGAAAGCAAATTCAGGAGTATCAAACTAATGAAAAAACAAAAGCTTCTATTTACACACATGTTTTCTAAAGGCTGCAGCTGTGACCTGTGTTTTCATCCTGGAAAAGCATACAATGCCATGCTGAGATATGGATGTATTTTAATCTTTGCACAAGGGAATTGCATTTTTTAAGTAAATCCATTATTAGGTAAGGCAGAGTTACAAAAATGTATCAAGTTTTTCTAGTCTCGGATTTTTATCAGTCAGTTGACTGCGTCACTTTTTGTTTGAGATTACATAAACTTTGCAATCAAGTTGCAGTTTATTTTTAATAAAATATCATGGTTTCTAGGAAATTAAATTCTGACATTGATAATTTTTATCCAAGGCACTTTGTTTTTCTTTCTCTAATGGAGTGATTTTGTTTTCAGTCAAGAGCAAGAGGTAGAAAATTATATCATTTAATTCAAAATTATTTGAGGACTACACAAGAGTGAGTGAAGATTGAAGTAGTGATATTTTAATCTGCAAAAACTGCCAGTGGATCAAGTTAATTTGCTTCTTCACCTTTTTTCCTTTAATTTCTTATCCCTTCTTAAGGAACATCCCTTTAGTAAAAAACATTATTTTAGACTTTGTTGTTTATTTATCTAATTATTTTTTAATCTTCTGTTATATTTTGACATGTGACCAAAAAATTGTAATGAAAAATCCATGATTAATTTTAAAAACAAAAACCAAAACAAAACAAAAATGAAAATATTTTCCCCAGGTCTGAATTTGACAGTTAAGGATATAAGTTGACCAGACTGTGATGGAAATGACCAGGTCTACTAAGCTTAACATGCCTGGAGAGAAAAAAGGAGATCCTGACTTGATCTTTCTAGTAAAGAATTAATTTATTGCCTTAGGATAAGTAAGAGTTGCAGCTACTTAATTTAAATGCTTTGTGTCATTGAAACACATGGCAGAAGTACCTTAGTGGATCAAAATATTCAGAAGCTGGTTTCATGAAGCCTCAGATGACCCCAGTATCTTTTGGAGAGATGTGTGGTTTGTTAAATGAAGATCTAAAAGGTGCATTTTACTATGTCTTATTTTTCATGAACTGGTTTATCCATGCTCAAAGATCTTAACAGGTAAGAAGGGAAGCCACATACAATGTAAACAGCTTTTAAATCAAAGTCCCTCTGCTGGAATTATCTGACGAGTCAAGAACACACAGTGTTTTCTTAGACATGCTAAGTATGATGGGCAAGTCTGTCCTATCTTGACATTTAAAACTGTGCTTAAATCTTAAATTTTAACTATTACATTTACTGTCTTCCAAATTTACCTATAAGGTTTCAAAAATTAAGCTTACAAATATAAAAATAGTGATTATTATTATTTATGGATTAAATTGAATCTGTAATTAAATGAAAACTTATTCTAAAATAGACTTGGGGGAAAAGCATAACTCAGATATCCTTTGTCTTGTTTTATGCAGACATATACAGTCTATAAATTATTTCTATTCTGAGTGTAATGCTAAAAGTTTTTAAAACAAAAAACAGTTAAATTGTTAATGCCTTTTAAAAACTTGCCTCTTTCTCACTGTATAAAATTTGTTTTGGCTTAAGGCCATGGAAAGTGTTACTGTGGAAACTGTTACTGTGAGGCTGGTTGGCATGGAGATAAATGTGAATTCCAGTGTGACATCACCCCCTGGGAGATCAAGAAAAGATGCACATCTCCAGATGGCAAAATCTGCAGCAACAGAGGTGTGTCATTCGCACGTTCCTTCTATGCATATTTATATAGCGTGTTTTTATTTTACATTATGCATTTTCTGCAGTAGGGCATCCTAGTGGTGTTTGCTGATAGTTTCTAATTTGCTCTCACTTATTTCAAGTCTGGATATACATTTCCAAGTGAGTGCATAGATACCTGTTTTTAGGTATAAACTTATACAAATCTACACCCATTTTTGGATTAAGCTGACCCAAGTTGTTTTCATCCTTCACTTTTATAGTAAGACTGAGCAGGATAATTTGTTAGTATATGCTTTGGTGAGAGAGTTACCCTGCAAAATAAAGTATTAGCAGACTTTTGACTTAGAATGGATTGGTGCTATAAGGCCAACAGGGGTGTATGTCAATTCACTCTTCAAGAAGACTAAGAACCCACAACTGAATAAGGAAAGTGAAAACACAAAGCTTTTAGTTTCCACTGCAACCTGAAAAAAACAACTACAAAGTGTTTAGTAACAATGCTGTGGAATGCATATGGGGCTGGAAAGGTAGACTTCACACTATTTCTAATTGCATGGGATTTTATTTACATAAAGTTCTGTCTAATTTTGCCATTTTGGAAAAAAAAAGGCACAAAATAATGCTGATTTTTACTAGCTGCTATGTTTGGTTTCACTGAATAAAGAGTTACAAACCCCATGTTATTTTTGGGGTGATAGTTCAGTATAGTTTCAGTAGTACTTAAGCACAAGCCACATGGAAACCTTTCTTAAAAGCAGCTCTACTGACAAAACTTGCTTTAGTGTGAACATCTAATGAACCTGAGAGCATTTAGAAAACTGTCTTGTCTTAATTACAAGGAAATTGAAAGACTGGCTTAAATAGATCATGTAGGCTCATTTGGTCTTGGAACATCAGCAGTAAAAAAATATCTGTAATTCTGGAAATAATAAATATCAAAATGGCTTCAGATCAGATGTTTTGTTTGTACAAAGAAAGTAATTACTTGACAAAGAATTTCTTGTCAAAGCAATTTTTTTTTTCAAATTTCAAATTTTAGTATCCAAGCGTGTCTTTAAATTTACATTGTGAGTGGGGCAAATGAGGATTAATAGTATAGCTGATATTCTGAATAGCTCTCCTATACAAAGGTACATTCATGGAATACTTCCATATTTTTAGCCTTTCATGTATTTGTTATTTTATCCATATAAAAATTCTGTAGGCTTTTGACTGCACAAAGTTGCTTTCCAACATAGTATTTCTACTCTCTATAGTCCTATTAACCCAGTTCTCTGTGTTTATACATCTTGTGGTATAGCTGAAGTTCACCTTGTCAGTCTTGGGCCTTCTAAAAAATTAAATAGCAAGGCTAACCTTGCTGTCTAGCCTCCTTCAGCGCTAAGGTGGATAAATTGTCTGTATCTTTCCACCAACCTAGTCAACCAGCTGAAACCAGATGTGAATCTTTAGATTTTTTTAAACCTTGGTGAGACAGTGTTTTTCCTTCCAATATCCAGGACAGCTGATTCAAATTCACTTTGAAGTTGTTTCTGGGAAATCACTCCCCAGATGCATTTCCTCATTTTCTGGGCTTTCTTTGTTTGTTGTTATTGTGTTGGGTTTTTTTCTTCTCCTTTAGTAATGGCACTGAATTGCAAAAGTGTCAAAAATCAGGTTCACATTTTTTGAGGGCTGTCTTGGTGGCTTTAGCACCAAGGGGGCAGGGCAGCAAGTCTTCTGCATGATGTAACTGTCATGCATCCACAATTGCATAGACCTTCTCTCGTCAGAGGATGTGGCCATGTCTACATGTACTCTTTAGTCATGCTGTCCTGATATCCTCAAATGCATTATATTGTTCAGAGTGATCTCAAGAAGAAGACAAAGGCTTTGGTGGAGTACTAGAAGGTGAACCTATTCTTAAGATGATTAATTGCCTGCATCTGTAAGGTTTGGCTGCTTCTTTATGCCTGTTGGCATCTCAGAAAAAGTAGTGAGTGTATGGCCCTGAAGCATATTTGGATTTCTGAATAAGGAAACTGTCTTTTTGTCCTGACTTTTCCTCAATAAGTATGATGTGTGTTCTCTGTATATCAGTAAGGCTGTGCAAAATTAGTATCTTTGTCATATTTCACATTTCCCTTCTTATTGTGAACAACAGCCCTGAATATTGACTTTGGAAAAGCAGAAAAGTATCATTTTTATGTAGGTCTGTACTGATGATCTTCTTAGGTAGAGAATGACCTTCTAGACATTTTCAGCTGGGTTAATATGGATTCCCTTCTAGTTTAAATGTTTATGCTTTAACAATCATTAATTATCCACTGTGCCCAAGCCCAAGTTATTTAAACAACATTGATTTTTATTCTCATTAGTGTCAAGGCAAATTACGGTTGATGTCAAAGATTTACAATTGTTCTGTGCTCTATATTTTTCTGTTGAATCCTAGCAAGGCTCAACAGCAAAAAGAAACTTGAACGGGAAGAAAACTTGTTTGTATAAAGTATTACTACGAAATAATCATAGAATGTTTTAAGTCGTAGAAGATGAACATACTCTCATGATTAACACTTGTAGCTTTGAAACTGCATTCCTGTGAGAGCAGACAATTCACAAGTGTAAATTCTTGTAATCAAACTACTATTGCTCTAAATTGCTCAGTTAATCTGCTCTGGCTCTCTCTCTTTTTTTTTTTTTTTTTTTACACTCTTTCTTTTTTTTTTTTTTTCCCCTTTTTTTTTCTTAGGCACATGTGTATGTGGGGAATGCACATGCCATGATGTGGACCCCACAGGTGACTGGGGAGATATTCATGGAGATACTTGTGAGTGTGATGAAAGAAACTGCAAAGCAGTGTATGATAGATATTCTGATGACTTCTGTTCAGGTAAGGAATATATAAGGAACTTATTTATAGTTTTATGACGGAAACATTCAATTGGTCTGATCTTGCTCTTCCTTAGTCTTCCAATTCTCATTTTCCTGTCTTAAAATATACCAAGCTTTATCTGTCTTCTTTTTTTATTTGTTTGTTTTGGGTTTTTTTTTGGAGAGGTGTAGTGGATTTTTTAGATTAATTAATTAATTCTAAAGCTTTTATAAAACTTTTTTTTTCTATGCCTTTTAACAAAATTGTGTAAATATTAATCACTTTTAGGTGCCTATCTCCCTTCTAACACTCTTTTCTTCAGTGTAACCTGACATAAATTGGAGAATGGTTGAAACTTTCAAATATATGCATCTCCTTCCTTGGGAAAATTTAAATTTGAAAAGTTGTTAGATCAAATTTTATTTGTTATTACATGTTATATGTCAGGGAGAGGACAAGTGAGGGGAAAAAATTTGAGGAAAAGTGAATTGATGAGTTAATGAAAAACAGTATCCTGAGAATGCCAATTGACCTGAGAACAAATAGAACATCGATATGTGGAAAATATGAATGACTAGTCCAGCTGCACATCACTGGCTGTACATCTTAGACACATTCACCTTCCTTTTTTCTTCTACTTCATAGCATTATATTCAAATCAGTTAATGTCCATCCAGCCATCCAAGGTTTGCAGTGTATTTAAATTGGTGATTCGTCTATTATCTAACAAAAGCTGAGATTCTGTGTGAGATCTTGCGTACAATTTTTTATAGTTACTGATAAAGTTGCTAATATTGGGCAGGAGAAAAGGACTCTGGTCAATACACAGCATTCAATTTGTACACGCAAGAACCTTTTGAAAACAAATGAGGGTGGTTTCAAAGGGACTTGACAGATTACAGGTTGCCAGCTCTAATGCATCCAGTAGAAATTTGCTCTGGGCTAATTAATAATAAGAAGATTGCAGTCACATTAAGGAAAGTAATGATGTGGTTTATTCTCCTCCTATTACTAGAATGAGAGATTCCTCATAGAACGATTGTAAGAGTTATCCATAATAGGGAGAGAAGGCTGAAACAAACATGATACATAAAATTCTTAACCTCTTGTTTGCCTGTTTTGTTGTTTTTTTTAAAGTAAATATTGATGAATCACTAGCTAACAAATGCAAGAGAGAGAGAGAAAAAAAAGAAGCATTGCTAAAAACCATCAGCAAATTCATTTTCTTGTTGCTGTTTTAGCCACCTACAAATGTTAGATAGGTTTATTTAATTAATAAGCTGGAAGGAGGTAGAACTGCAGACATGAGAGCAGCAGGAAGATTGACTTTGGGATGTTGTCAATTTTTTAATGTATTATTGTGTTGCTGAGTATGTTTTTAGCACTTAGGGGCTGATCAAAATGTCAGCATCAGTTACAGAATACAAAGCTAAAAAACAATGCAGAAAATAGGCTCTGTAGTTAAGGGTGAACTCAAGAGTTTCAAACCTAATTAGATTAAAGCAAACCTGTAGCATCTACAGCTAATGCTGTATCACTGGAACATGGCTTGAACTCTCTCTTATCCAGACATTACTGCCATTGCTGGTGCTGCTGCCCAGGGTGGTAACTGTTGTAAGAAAGCAAAGTATAAGAAAGTATGGACAGTTACAAAGGAATTGGGGAAAGATATTGTCATTTCACATTGGATTAAGGATTGGTACAGTACTGTTTATTACACAGCCATGAGCAAACCTTATGAGAGATACAAAAGAAAGCATTCATATGGTTTGCTTTAAGTAACTAAAACTCATGAAGTATAGCTTAGTTTTTCTACCTAATCAGAAGAAAAAGTATTCTTATTCTTATCAATTCCATTTCCATTACATTTCAAAAAAGCCTAATTTAAGCTTAAATGGCCAACCAAGAACGCATTCCTGAAATAAAGCATGCAGAAAATCCATATTCATATTAAGTAGTGTGAACAGTGTCTGTTTACAAAACAAATAGATAATACATCAAATAGAGGTGATATAAAACTTTTTCTGTCTTTTTCTGCCTAGCCAGTACATAAAAATAGAAACCACATTGCCCTGATTAGCAGATTGAAATGATAGGAAATCGTGTTTACATGTAAAGACTTTATTGCAAATGAATGAAATACTATGTTTACTCCATAAACTACAAATGACAGGAATTGGCAGCCCTGATGTGAGGATTTAACATCAAGCAACAGCAGCTCCCTCCAGAAACTTCATATGGCTTGGGGTGGCTGTCAATTTGCAGTACATCATATTAGGAACTGGATGCCTTCTTTTAACATCTGAAGTGCAGTTCAGTATGTTACTGAATTATTTTCTTTAAGAGGTGTTTGCAACATTAAAGTGATTCTCTTCCTTTAAAAGGAGAATATCTTTCATGACTTGCCATAGGAAGAAAAAAGGCTTCCTTAAAAAAATTCCTACATTCATACATCTCATTATCTCCTTTGCTGTGGCTTTAGCAAAGAAAATATTTTGTGAAAGAACATCATCCTCTCATAAGTATGTTTACCTGTAAGGAGCTACACATGGAAGCAAAGAGCATTAGGCTCATGATGAAGGGAAAGGGGCTTGGTTTTTCTTGGTCTGGATATGTTAGCATTCGTATGGAGGAAATAGCTTGGTTGGATGGCTTTCCAGGTTAAGTTCTCAGAAGGGGTTCACCCCTAACTCTTGGCTGTTGCTTTTTTTCTTTTTTAAAGAAACTTTCCAGAAAAGTTTCCTTGGAGATCAGTTGCTTTTCCTTACCTCAACTTGTAGAATGAAAGTTGCATTTATATTGCTATGTTCAGACATGGTCAGGGGGAGTCAAGTTAGCTAAAGAGATACCAAAACCACTGCCCTACTGAAATAAGAACTGATTATGTCCAGTATTTTATTATTTGCACATCACTATTTAGTAGAAGGCATTGGTTTCAGACTTGGAACTGGTGCAACTTTGTTTGTCTGTAGTGGATCACATTGATTACAAATAGGTTAAAGATTATATTGATATATTACTTAAAAAGTATGCTGCAACTGTAGTAGAAAAAGAATATAAATGCTAATGAAATATTGCCTTATGCTGGCCTAAGTTTTCCAGACAATGGTGAATGTGTATTTGTAAATTTTCCACCTTTTCACGAGGAGTGTGTGCCAAAGGCAAAGAAGCCCTTAACACACAAAAAATAATAAAAAAAAAAAATTAAAGGAAATATGGGTCAAATAGAATGGTAGACCAGTGATATTTTCAGAGAAAAGTAGATATACTCATTTGGTTGTATTTTTGCCAGTCTGATTATTTAATATTATCACAGCTTTGAGAAAGTTCATCTAATCATGAGGTTTTAATACTTATCATCAGTATGGAGGCTAATCTTTAACTGCATTCACTGTAAAGGTCATGGACAGTGTAATTGTGGAAGGTGTGACTGTAAAGAAGGATGGACTGGGAAAAAGTGTGAACATCCACATTCTTGTCCATTGTCACCTGAGGAGAGTGCTAAAAAATGCCAAGGAAATTCTAATTTACCTTGCTCTGGAAGAGGTAAGCACATTTCTGGAAGAATTTTCATGCCCTTGAAATGTACTTCCATTAAAAAATTTTTTACAGATGTCCAACATTACTAGTACTGAAAAATGTGAACTTTCTTGGCTTACTGTGCATAAATCACACCTGTGTAACTTATGGGAAGGGAGGAGAAGAATACAAAGGTCACCTATTTTTCCTGTCATCCACTACTTTGTATTTTGTTTCACATATCTCAACATTTGGTTTGGAGATTTACAAGGGTGCTTTGAAGTTTACTGCAGTTAAGTCTTTACTACATTAAAAATATGAACATATTCTATGCATTCTTTGACAAAGCCAGCATGAGATTTTCAGCCTGTGTAAAATGTTGTGGCACCAGTGTGGGAGAGCTGTTTGGATTTACACCACCTAAGAACCTGCCCCACTGAGTGCAGAACTGACTTCTATAATGCAGTTGTTCTTCAGTGCAGTACGCTAGTTAGCCACTGGCTTTTCATTTGAAAGCATTTCTTTGTGACACTGTGTAGCCTTTTCAAAAGCTTTGAGTACAAAAATATACATACAGTTGAAATACACATTGCAAGTGAAATGAAACTTTTCTCAGAAGGAAAAGAACCTGCCAATTTTAACCTGTCACTGTGTGAAATGTGGTTTTCTGCAGAAAAGAGAGAGTAAAGTAAATAAGAGACAGACTTTTGCTAGAACTGGTAATTGAAGTTCTGAATTTTGTCCACTTAGGTATTTGCTGGGAAAGGTCTAAAATTATTCTTGAATTGTTGCATCTGACCTGAAATGTAATTTCAGTTGCAATTTCTTCTTTCAACAATGCTTTCTAATGTAGTCAAAAACTGTAGGTTGTCCACCCAAGTCAGCACTCTATAACTGTATTTTTCTCCCCACGTAAATGGGTAGTAGCTCATAAGTTAGCGCAGCATTATCTGCATCTTTAAAGAATTATGTATTAACAGTTTGTTGCTTGCTCTTTTCTTCATTAAGCTACAGTTTTGCAGAGAATTACATCTCTCTTGCTAAAAATTCTCAAATAAATTTTTGTCTACAAGTTAGGTGAAGCATGGGCATCTGTAAGGAATTAACTGCATTTTATTGTTCGTGATCGCAAGGATTAAAACTAAAAGAAAAGAGTGTTAACATTTGATTGATTTATTCATATTTTTTTAAATGCTAGCTCAGTCTTTTCCTGTTCTTATTGGATGCTAAATGTCTCTTCTTTCACCTGCTTCACTAGGAGTTGTGTATGTTGAACATTTGGAGTCAATTCTATGATTTAATTGCATTGTGCACTATGAGAGTCAAATGGCAGAGAAAAGAATTATATACATAACAACAAGTTTAATCTGAGTTAAAGTAGAGTCTTAAGTTATGGAAAATAATGTTCCATTTATATTTCAAATTTTGAAAGTATTATTAATATAGTGTGAAATATTTTTCCTGAAAAAAAAAACAGCAAAAAAAACCAAAAAACCAAAACCACTCCAAACCCCCAAAACCCTACCTGAGTATTAATGCTGGCAGTGCTCTCCAGCTGATATATTAACAGTGAAATAAGTCCCTTTCAGGTGTATTAATTTGACTGGATGATCTGTTGATCAACATTTTAAAATAAAGCGCAAGCAATATCTATTGGAATAAAAGAAATATTTGATAGTGGCTTTCACTAAACTTCCTTTGACTTCCAAACAAGAAATCACCAAGTTGTATAAGGAATGCAAATGGCATTCCAAATCCATGGATGTGAATCTAGGAAATGGTATGATAGACTGATGCTGTAATAAAGGATCAAGAGACTCTGCATTCCATGATACAAACAAATAAATAAATAAAAAAACACCCCCAAAAATGCCAAACACCAAAAAAAAAACCACCCCACCCCCCCCAAACCCCCCAGAAAACCCCAAACCAACCAACTAAATAATCCAATCAAATGACACCTGTTTTAAGTCTTCTGGAGAGGGAAGGGCCACAGACTTGTAAAAGCAGCATAACTGAAATCCATAGGGAGGATACTGTGACAAGAAAGGGAAAGTTCCAAAGGAAATCAAAGTGTAACTGTTTCCATTTGAACATTAGTGTTTTGGTAACCTCCTTGTAACATTTTTCTCCTAGTCCTATCATTAGGTACTCTCTAAAAATTACTTTCCCTACGAAAACGTGTTGAGGATGAGGAGAGAGATTCTCGCCAGCTTCATTCATCTAAAGTGAATAATCCGTTTTACCCTTTTATTCCTGAGAGTGGTGTTTGGTTTTTTACTTGCTGCATGACTTTTCACTTTAGATATAATACTTTTACAGTGAAAGTCTGTCCTTTTAAGAAAACACTCTGTACAAAAGGACCAGTGCCAGAGCGAAAGGAAAAGACACACACACAAAAATCCTTATAGTAAGAAATAAAGAGATAACATATTGTTGTCAGGATTAAGGGACAAGAAAAACCCCTTTTCACTTTAAAATGTCCACCACACACTTGAGTTTCCCCTTAGGGCAAGAAGCAGATTTCAAAATAGTTATAATAAAAAAGCCTTCAGGAAGAGAATTGAAAATAAAAAGAGTAGGTTTTGAGAACAGAGGAGAGTGTTTTGTCTAAATAATCTTGTTCTCATCACTTACCTTTAGTGAAGGCAGACATCCCATGGCAGTGATCTAAAGACAGAAAAATAACAAATATTATTGGTGGTGTCTTTTACCATTTTAATCTCTTTTCTAAGATTGCTTTTATTTGTTGTATGGCAAGAATGAAACTGTTTCTTTATCTGTGAAATGGCAGAAGCACAGCTGGTGGCATGTGCCAGGTTATGAGAGCTAGTTCTGTGCTATTACCACTGGAGCCTTATTTACAGTAGTTTTATTTCCCAAATTTCTGGTTCTTTTGTTCTAAGTGCAGTTATTAATGAAGGACTTTGGGGTCCCCCTCTATTACATTTCCAAAACAGATCGACCAAAACCTGTTCCTATTTCTATCAGGTACCTGTAGAAAAGCATTGTCTCCAAAGTCTGCGCTTGTTGACGTAGTAAAGGAAGATGATAGTAGAAGTTGCCCTTTGAATAATTCACTATACTTTATATATGACAGGATGGGGTTAGAACGGAAAAGTGTAAACAATCCTAAGTTAAAATCTAGGTTACTATCCCTGCTACCAGCTCTTTATTACAGCCTCTAATTATGCAAATTGCACTGTTTAATTGAAGTGTAAATTACTCTAATGTACATAATCTCTGAATTTGGCCTGCTGTTTTCATTCATTTTGCATGACCCTTGCGTTCTGAAGGAGGTCTTAATTAGTGTTATAGGAGACAGCCTGGCAGCAAGTAATGTTATTAGCTGGCGTAACAAGAACAGAACATAAATGCAAGTCATGCATCACATCTCTAGATTTCACCTCATCAACTTTGAGACTGAGCTCCGTTATACATCTGTGCACTTCAAGCAGAGAGGCACCCTAACTGTACTAGCACTTTAATGCCAAATGAGCTGGCATAACAATATTTATACAATTTGATATACCCTTATATGCTGGACTGGCACTCTGAACTCCAGTTGTAGTCTGTTGAAGGCAAAAGGAAAAATATAGATAAACAGTTGTATCACAATCCTGCTAGATTTGTCTATCAGGACTTTAAATCACTGATTTAAGCTGCTGCTCTGATTCAGACTCTGCATGAGCCTCCCTCTCTCTGCTGATTGAAGCGTGATTCTCTGGAAGCTGCCTTTTAGAATCATAGAATCACAGAATCATAGAATAGTTAGGGTTGGAAAGGACCTTAAGATCATCTAGTTCCAACCTCCTGCCATGGGCAGGGACATCTCACAGTTAACCATGCCACCCAAGGCTCTGTCCAGCCTGGCCTTGAACACCGCCAGCGATGAAGCACTCACATCTTCTCTGGGCAACCCATTCCAGTGCCTCACCACCCTCACAGTAAAGAACTTCCTCCTTACACCCAATTTAAACTTCCCCTGTTTAAGTTTGAACCCGTTACCCCTTGTCCTGTCACTACAGTCCCTAATGAAGAGTCCCTCCCTAGCATCCCTATAGGCCCCCTTCAGATACTGGAAGGCTGCTATGAGGTCTCCACGCAGCCTTCTCTTCTCCAGCCTGAACAGCCCCAACTTTCTCAGCCTGTCTTCATACGGGAGGTGCTCCAGTGCCCTGATCATCCTCGTGGCCTTCCTCTGGACTTGTTCCAACAGTCCCATGTCCTTTTTATGTTGAGGATACCATAACTGCACACAATACTCACGAGAGCAGAGTACAGGGGCAGGATCACCTCCTTCGACCTGCTGGTCACACTCGTTTTGATGCAGCCCAGTTATGGCTGGTTTTTGGGCTGCAAGCGCACACTGAAGCCGGCTCATGTTCATTTTCTCATCGATCAACACCCCCAAGTCCTTCTCCACAGGGCTGCTCTGAATCTCTTCTCTGCCCAACCTGTAGCTGTGCCTGGGATTGCCCTGACCCAGGTGTAGGACCTTGCACTTGGCTTGGTTGAACTTCATAAAATTGGCATTGTCATTGGCTTGGTGTCATCGGCAAACTTGCTGAGGGCGCACTCAATCCCACTGTCCATGTCACTGACAAAGATGTTGAACAAGACTGTTCCCAACACTGATCCCTGAGGGACACCACTCGTTACTGTTTTCCAACTGGACATTGAGCTGCTGACCACAACTTTTTGCGTGTGAGCATCCAGCCAGTTCTTTATCCACCAAAGCCAGTTCTTTATCTACTGATATTAGGAAAGGCAGTTTAGAACTGTTGAGAATAGGTCACCTTTTTCCATTTCTGATTTTTTAAAATGCGTATTGATATTATTATTATAATCATCATGATCATTACTAATCAGTAAGTGTTCAGGAGCTCAATGGTTCAGTATTTTTGTGTAGAGAAGGTTATTTATTTATCAATGACCAACCTACAGCACTCCTGGCTGTTTTTTTTTTTTTTTGCCTGTTACTCTATCTTTTTGAGGAGACACAAGTAGGGACAGAAGAAGCAAGG